TCTAGTAAAGTATCAGTGTTTAGATCAGTGTTTCTCAACCGTGGCAACTTTTAAGATGTGTAGACTTCAACGCTCATAATTCCCCGGCCAGTACCATTGAGAAACACTGCTTTAGATTATTTAGATTACCTAAAGAGCAGTTTTCCCCATATCGCCATGGTAGATAATGGATCATCCATTCATTTTCAGCTGTTCATCACACTTGACTATTTCAGGGCTTTTTATTGCTGATGAAAGTTAGCATAGACCATTTAGCTACCTCAGAAAAAAAGGTACTGCCTCTTCCTGAATCAAGGTGCATAGGACCCAAATAATTATGATCATTGGGACACAACATACATTCCACTGGTATCCCTAGCCTAGAGTAAAAATTAACTGTAAAAATTAACAAGAAACTTGCTGCTTGTTTGTAACATTCTTTTCATTCTGAGTAGTAGTAGGACTGTCCATCAATACATGGGAAATTGTGGAGAAAAAATGTTACTAATCAAGTATTATTCATCTGTTTTTGCCCTTGTAGAATTTTGCTGAAAAGGAGAAGGCAGCAGCTAGGGCTCTGGAAGATGTGAAGGCTAACTTCTACTGTGAATTATGTGACAAGCAGTACCATAAACACCATGAATTTGACAACCACATCAATTCCTACGATCATGCACATAAGCAGGTAAACCTAAAAAGTCATGTCAAATATTTTGCTTTATTGCATCAATCCTGGCAAACCAGCCGTGTAATCAGCTTGTAGGAAGTGATTACAGTGTATGTTCAAGTGCTGTTACATAACTTGTTGCACTTAGGCCAATTCATATAATCAGTTCAATAGTTCAGCATCAAGTGAAATGACTTTCTGAGATTACTGAGGCTACCATATCATAGTTGCAATTTTTATTACCAAACAGGGCAAGTTTAGTTACACATTTCTATTGTTCCCAGCCCAACAGAGCATTGGAAATAAATTATGTCAAGGAGTTCAGAATTCTGTCTGTGTGTCCTTCAGCAGAACAACTGTAAAAACTGAACAGAAAGGGGACACAATTGATATGCTGGGAGAAGCCAGCAAAAGAAAGATCAAATTTGAAAATGGGCCAGTTTGCTGTCTCCTATGGCCACAGAGGAGTTGAAAAGAACTCCAAAAGCTGAACTATGTATGCTTTCCCTTGTTAATTCTTTCCAAACCAATGGAACATTGGAATGAAATTATGGAATTGGAATTGGAACCCTGTCTGTATATCTGTTAGTCAGCACACATACAGATAGAGTCCAAACTCCAATTATATAATTCTCCAAAGCCTGAACAGAATGGAACAAATTTAGCATGTAGGGAGGGTAAGCTCAAAAGACTGAGCTTGAAAATGAACTGAATCAGGGCAGGGATTATAGAACAAAAAAAAAAAATCAAGGAAAAAACCACTCAGTGCATCTCTAGGGGAGGTAATTGGGTAACAGTAAGAATGTTGCTTGACTTCTCTACTTCCTCCCAGCCATGTAGCCCAGAGCAGAGATTTTACAAAGAGGTTCTAAAGAATTTCAGAAGCCAGGCTCTGCATGCTTTCCCTGTATATTTATATACACACATGTAGAACTATATGGTGCATTTATTGCTGCAAAAAGAGCTTCTTCTCATGAGAATGATAGAGCTATGTTAGACTGACACTGGCCTTATTTGCAAAACACAAACAACCAAGACTTCTTCTAGTCAGTTGATTCAACTTCATCTGCTGGCATCATGTGATCTCAGATGACTCTGATGATTCTGCAGCCATAAAAATGGCTCTATTTCCCTGCTCACTGGCTCTATTTTTCTCACTAAGGAGGGGAATTTAAATTTAAATTTAAAATAAAAACATGTAATGGTGTGATCACAATTCTTTTCTAGCCCCTATAGAGGGTGAAAAGATGTGTGTGTCAAGTACATATAATGAGGATTGAGAGAAGCCTATCTAGGCTTGTGTCTCAATCATAGATATTAGAAAAGATATTTAATCCTCTGGTAAGTAAGTCATATGACACAGGGCATATAGTTGATTGGCTGGATCAATTAACTCAGTTTTGGAGCTTGCACAACAAGCTTCTCCTCTGTCCCCACCCATAACCAAGAGGGCCATTGTGTTACAGAGCCTTGCAGGTTCTCTAGGAATCCATTATGTCTCTTATAGGACTACCATATCCAGGCTGCCAGAAAACTCTATCTCTTTACTCTTGTTTAACACTCCTCTGGATTTTTTTCAGTTCAAATCTGGTAGCTCCAGTTACTTTCTGTTCTTGTCCAAAGTCTTTCTTCTGCTGTTTTTATTTCTGAGCTCCATTCATACTGTTCATTAAATAAGTAAATTTGGAGTTGCTTTGTTGATTACCACATCAGAGTCAAGTGAAACAAAGACCACAGTTATGGTCCACTATGCAGAATGAAAACCAAAAGCAAGGCATGATAACTTAACAGAACATTCATTTAAAAAAAACTGTGTTTGCTACTTGCCTGGGAATAGACAAATATGCTTGTGTGACATGATACTCATGAAGTGTAGATAGTGGATTTTATCAGTTTCAGTGTTTACATTGTGTTTACTGATTTCAGTTTCCCCCTGTACTGAGTAGTGCCTTGTTCAGTGGTAAATAAAATTTTGATTACAAGTTCTTATGTTCACAAGAGACAGTAGAAGAGAATGCTAAGCATTTCATGTGTTTTCTCTGGAAGAACTAGGTTATTCTTGGTTTTTTTTAAGAAAAATTATTACTGTTCTTCTCTCCACTTAATTAGTCCATAAAAGGCTCGTAATGATATAAAATTGATTTCAGATCCAACCTATATGAGGGTAATTCTATAATCTCCCTTTCCTACACAAAAGGATTTATTTTAAATATCAGCTGCTTTTTCTATTAATCAGGATTGTTTCTGACTCAGATTGATCCATTCCAAGCATTGTCATCCTTTCCTTTCCCTTGCATATACTTATAAACCTCCCAACATAGATATATATTCTAACTCATGTTTCTCAGAACTAGTGATTTATGCAAAATAGAAATGCCATGTTGATGCATCAGTTGGTTTTTCTTGGTTGCTTTCCATCATGAAAGATCATGGTTAAAAGCAATAAAACTCTTTTTAATTTTAAAAACTGCATTTAATGTTCTAGAAAAAAATGACAGATTGGTAGTGAAAGGAACAAATGGCCTACATATTTCATCAGACAACATAAACCTCACACAGAAATAGGAGCACATGTTTTTCCAGTGCTGCTCTACAAGGTAAAGTAATAGCTGAACTAGCTCATCCATAGGGTGAAGGCATAAGCATGAAAAAGACAGATTCAGTTGCCCAGTTCTTCTAGCCATTTAACAATTACCAAAGGTGCAAACTTGTAAATAGAGCAGCCTTTGATTTGGAATAGTTAGTAGCCTATTTTTCTTTACTATAAAGTGATGCTAAGACATTCAGAGTCCCCATTAGGTCCATTTATGTCAGGGATAAAATGACTGCACCCCTGGCATAGAGGAGTGTATATAGCAGGTTTATTAGCCTAACTTTGATGGGTGAAATTCATTTTTAGATACAGCCTAAACAATAGAATTAATATAAAAGTTCATGAGAAAAGAAGCAAGTATGCACATTTGCTTAACTCCTTTTAAGAAGTATATTACTGCACAGAGACCTCTGATATTGGCATATCTAACCTACATGCTGGTATTTTCATGCAGCATCATAATTAATCAGAGACGATAGCAATCTATAGTTGTTTCCAATTTTGTCCATAGACTCTTTCTAGATATTGAGTCAAAGATCACCTTCAAATAAAAAAGACAGCATAAAGGATTCCTTGTCATCAACTAGAATACTTTTTAGCTAAATTATGCAGTTCAAGGCATTAATCAAAAGCTGACTGGACGTTGTTCTTGGGCAGCACCTTGTCTTTGATTAGTCAATCAATAAATTTCCCATACATATGTCATATGATTTATTAATAATATTTAAGAGGTTAATTGGCTGAATGAGAGCCAGTTTGATGTAGTGATTAAGGCATCAGGCTTAAAATAGGAGACTGACTTCTAGTCCATCCTTAAGCACAAAGCCAGCTGGAAGTCTTTGGGACAGTCACTCTTTCTCAGCCCAAGAAAGAAGGAACTGGCAAACCGCTTCTGAAAAATGCTGCCAAGAAGGCTGCATGGACTTGTTCAGTCAGACACTAGAAGTCAAGACTGAATAATTCCACACACATATATAGCCCATTTTCCACAACAGTGAAGCATTAAAATACCTTAAATTGATTTCAATGGAAAATGTTTTAAAGACTCTTTAAAGACACTGAAAGACATTGAAAGGAAAATTAAAGACTCATTCCTCTCCTAATCAGTGCTTTGATTATGTGCTATCAAGTCAGTGTTTACTGTTACGAGGACATAGATAGAACTTTTCCATGATTATCTGTTCCCAACCTAGCCATTCTTGGAAAAGACCCTGATGCTGGGAAAGATTGAAGGCAAAAAGAGAAGGGGAGGCCAGAGGATGAGATGGTTAGATAGCATCACTGAAGCAATGAGCATGAAACTGAGCAAACT